GGTTTAGTCCTGGTTTAGAGCTAGTTGAGTCTTGTTTTAGTCCTGGTTCAGTCCTGGTTCAGTCCTGGTTTAGACCTGGTTTAGACCTGGTTTAGACCTGGTTCAGACCTGGTTCAGTCCTGGTTTAGACCTGGTTTAGAGCTAGTTTAGTCCTGTTTTAATGCTGGTTCGGTCCTGGTTTAGTCCTCCTTGTGTAGTCCTGATTCAGTCCTGGTTCAGTCCTTGTTCAGTCTAGGTTCAGTTCGGGTTTAGTCCTGGTTCAGTTCGGGTTTAGTCCTCCTGGTTCAGTCCTGATTCGATCCTGGTTCAGTCCTGATTTAGACCTGGTTTAGACCTGGTTTAGAGCTAGTTTAATCTTGGTTCAGTCCTGGTTCAGTCCTTGTTTAGTCCTGGTTCAGTCCTGGTTCAGTCCTTGTTTAGTCCTGGTTCAGTCCTTGTTTAGTCCTGGTTCAGTCCTTGTTTAGTCCTGGTTCAGTCCTGGTTTAGTCCTGGTTTAGATCTGGTTTAGACCTGGTTCAGTCCTGTTTTAGTCCTGGTTCAGTCCTGCTTTAGACCTGGTTTAGACCTGGTTCAGTCCTGGTTCAATCCTGGTTTAGACCTGGTTTAGAGCTAGTTTAATCCTGGTTCAGTCCTGGTTTAGTCCTGGTTCAGTCCTCTTGATTCAGTCCTGGTTCAGTCCTGGTTCAGTCCTGGTTCAGTCCTGGTTTAGTCCTGGTTCAGTCCTCTTGATTCAGTCCTGGTTCAGTCCTTGTTCAGTCTAGGTTCAGTTCGGGTTTAGTCCTGGTTCAGTTCGGGTTTAGTCCTCCTGGTTCAGTCCTGATTCGATCCTGGTTCAGTCCTGATTTAGACCTGGTTTAGACCTGGTTTAGAGCTAGTTTAATCTTGGTTCAGTCCTGGTTCAGTCCTTGTTTAGTCCTGGTTCAGTCCTTGTTTAGTCCTGGTTCAGTCCTTGTTTAGTCCTGGTTCAGTCCTGGTTTAGTCCTGGTTTAGATCTGGTTTAGACCTGGTTCAGTCCTGTTTTAGTCCTGGTTCAGTCCTGGTTTAGACCTGGTTTAGACCTGGTTTAGACCTGGTTCAGTCCTGGTTCAATCCTGGTTTAGACCTGGTTTAGAGCTAGTTTAATCCTGGTTCAGTCCTGGTTCAGTCCTGGTTCAGTCCTGGGCCCATGTGTTGTTGCCTATGATTTATATTTTGTAGATTACTATGAATTAATAACATCAATGACGTCACAAATCCTGCACCCTCACTTAAATAATCCCCACTACACCTCTGCCTGTGCCTTTTCTTTATACGCCTGTCAATACAAACTCATTGAACAACCACAAATTAATTAGCAATTCTCATTTACTTTCAGTGTTTGCCTTAAGAACCTCTCCTCCTCCTCCTCCACTTCTGCATCTGAATCAGCTCGGACACAATACGCTTACTTCTAACTTCCCTCATCAGGTCTCTGTCTCTATGGTTACCTCCGTACGCTGTGCATCAGTGTTGAAGATCGTCTTTTGTTACCGTAAAACACAAGTGGCCCGTGGCGAGGCTCGAGAGAGGCTCCGCTACTCACACCTCGGCTTTCATTTGAATAGCTCACACATACAGTACGCACAGGTCCGTCTGCGGTCGTGTTTCATCCACGCGTTGGGCTTCGGGCGATATGTGGAAAAAGCCTTCAACCTGCACCAGCGGAGAGACATGACCGGGTTTTAAAAGGGATGAGCTGCTCTGCCGGGCACTGGAAGTAGCTTTGTGGAGTACTGGTGTATTTGGATATACGTCTATACAGTGATTAAACTCATGCGTGTGTTGGAGTAGTGTTTGACTTACAGGCGTTAAGGCGTGAACTGATCAGGTAAACTGCTTTTGTTTTAAATGTTAGGTTTAAATATTCTTGCAATGGTATATAAACAGTATCATATGAGATCTTTGCTAAATCTTTGTGTATGTTGTGTTGTATATTTTGTCTAATGGAGCTTTCTGTTGTACTCGGGACCCGACCTCCACCTCGAGAAAGTGTCAATCAAATCTGGGTTTCGAAACACAAACTCAGGTTTGTTTGGTGAAGTCCAAGTCGGTTGGACATTAAACTTTCTTGGGCAACCATAACAAGCAGCTCTGCAACAAGATCATGGAGAGAGGTTCCCGGGCGTCTCATGTGCTGTCCACTGCTGATGAAAGGACGAATGAAATGCAGAGGAGCCGGCATCTCAAAAGTTTCATTGTCTCTCATCATTGTATGAGGTGGGCAGTAGTGGTGGTGGTGGTGGTGGTGGAGGTGGGCAGTAGTGGTGGTGGTGGTGGTGGTGGACATCGCAGCACCAAGCGATGTTAATATCAGGAAAAAGGAACACGAGAAACTAGAGAAACACCAGGGGCTCAAAGCGGCGCCTGGAAAGTGAAGGTATCAGTGGTGCCTGTGGTGATCGGACACTCGGGGCTGTAACCCCCAAACTGGAAGAGTGGCTACTGACTTTCAATAGAATGCGACATTAGCTCTAAAAATATAAATTAAAAAACGGGACACTGTAAGTGAATGGGGAAAAAAAAAATTTGAATTTAGAGAGATCAATTTGAAAGTTCTCATGTTGTTTACTCACATAAATGTAAGCATTTGTGTGATATTGGTCACACATGAGAATGTCTTACTTTTTCTGAGATTTTGAGACCGGTTTTCAACCTGTAACATCCAGTGTGCACCGGTTATGTGTGTGTCAACTTGTGTGATGATTGGGTGAATATTTTACCCCGCAGATGGTTCAGAAAGTGCAGAAATTGCCAAATCCTTTATAATGGCGTGACTTTTCAATTGACCCATGTGACCTCAAATGACCTCGGATTGTCACCAAACTTTTTTTGCAGCATCGGGCACGAGGGCTTGACCCATGTACTAAATTTGGTGACAGTCGATCCATAAATAGCAGAATTATCGCAGGTGGACACACACACACACACAGGGTGAATACAAAACCTGGTCAACCCTTCGGGGACCAGGTAATTATTGCAACTTGGAATTAGATAATCCTTCGGTGAGTTTTGTTTAGTAGACGACTGGAAAATACTTTAATGGGTGCTCCTTGTTTCCCAATGAGGAGAAAATGCATTTGATTTGAGTTGATTAAATTAAATATTAAATCTCCTTTGGTACGGGCTGGAAATGATATTGTTTTTCCACATGAAAGTTTGCATGCTAAGAGACCAAACTCACCAAAAAACACAACACTCCCCTTAACTTGTGTCACTAAGATGAGTAATAGTTTTCCTATGGGACCAAATCAGTGTTTTTAATTTTTACCTTCAGTCACTGCACTGTGTAAAGTTTTATCTGTCTTGAGAAGTCTTTCAAAACCAATTTATGATGTGAAGTTTAGTAGATGAATAAATGTGAACTTTATAACTGAATATAGCGTGTTTGCTCTAGTACTACTTCTACTTTTTATTCTGTGCGTTTTTGGAAGGAAATCGGCGATGCAAAAGTGTCACAAAAGTGGACATACGGAAGTTTTTGAAGCGTATTTAACTTTTCCACTCCACTTTTTCACGTTTTTAAGCTCCAAAACGCCGTCACCGTCTAAACGAAAGCCTCTTCCGATAAAATATTTTGTCGTTTTTACCTGCAAGTGTTCTCGTGTAAACAGGCCTTTACAGTGAGCGTGCTCGCCTGTCCACAGATCTGACTGGCGACCTGGCCTGCTGGCATCACCTGCTTCTCCTTGGTTTAATAACTATAAAACATTTCAGGCATTTTCACTATTTTGTCCGTCCAAAATAAATCCTATGATGGAATACAGTGAGTTTGAAAATGAAAACCTCACAACCTCGTCCTGGTCTGGTCCCGGTCTCAGTCCTAGTCTCAATTACGGTCTGGTCCTGGTCTGATCCCGGTCTCAGTCCCGGTCTTAGTCCGGTCTTAGTCCCAGTCTCAATCACGGTCTGGTCGCGGTCTTCAGTCCCGGTCTGGTCCTGATCTCGGTCCCGGTCTCAGTCCTGGTCTCAGTCCCGGTCTCAGTCCCGGTCTCAGTCCCGGTCTCAGTCCCGGTCTCAGTCCCGGTCTTAGTCCCGGTCTCAATCACTGTCTGGTCGTGGTCTCAGTCCCGGTCTGGTCCCGGTTTTAGTCCTGGTCTCAGTCACTGTCTGGTCTTGGTCCGATCTTGGTCCTGGTCTCGGTCCCGGTCTCGGTCCCGGTCTCGGTCCCGGTCTTAGTCCCGGTCTCAATCACTGTCTGGTCGCGGTCTCAGTCCCGGTCTGGTCCCGGTTTTAGTCCTGGTCTCAGTCACTGTCTGGTCTTGGTCCCGGTCTCGGTCCCGGTCTCGGTCCCGGTCTCGGTCCCGGTCTCGGTCCCGGTCCCGGTCTCGGTCCCGGTCCGTCTCGGTCCGGTCCCCTAGTCTCAGACCAGTTTTAGTCCTGGTTCAGTCTGGCATCACAGTTTAAGTCATGGAAATGAAAATATGTTTTTTTTTTGTGTTTTTTTCCATTACTCATTTAAACACAAAATCGAAAACAAAACAAAAAACCCTAATTGTTATCTGTTGTTTTTTTTTGTTTGTTTTTTTTGTTTTGTTTTCAGTTTTAGAGTCAAATAATGAAGAAAATAGTTGTTTTTTCTTTTTCTTATTTTTGGTTTTATATTGAAAATCAAATGAAGGAATGATGCACAGATTGTGGTGGATCGATTCTTCTGTTTTACGCTTTTCAACTACCAACAGTTTTCACTAATTACACATCCATGGGTTTCAGAGTCATGAAGATTTAGCAGCTTTGCCACAGCAATTAACACATCAAACCAAATTAATGTTTTTAATTTGAAATCTACTTAAAATGTTGCCTATAAACAGAAAGCTCAAGAAAGGGAGTAATATAACACACACTGTAATCGTTTTTGTAATTGTATTTTGTAACAGATATTGCCTTGGTCCAGAAGAATTCACAGGATTAATAATATTTTCTGTATTCTCGTCTTTAATATGACCACCTTTGAGCACGTTGATGGTTCTGTGTCTCCTCCACAGCCCGTACCGGAGCAGCAATGAGCAGGCGGCTTCAAAGGCAGTGAAAAGAGCGTCCCGTATTGAAGCAGCTCCCCCTGGTGGCTGGAGAGAGGAGCGCAGAGAGCTGTGCCTGGATCTCAATGGAAACATCCACACCGCGGCTGAAACCGACGCACGGGACACATGGGACCAGGCTGAGCTCCGGACCGGTCATGGAGAAGAAAACCAAACGGAAGACTGTGAACTAGGAGCAGAGCAGAGGCAGAGAGGCATTTTTCAAGGTAAAAATTAATCACTATACTTCTAATATACTTCTAATTTAGGATATTTTCAAACAACAGCGAGCTTTAAGCCATGTCAGAATGATGTTACCTCCTCAAAAACAGACCTGGAGTTGTGTTTTGTTTTATTCACACATGTTTGAGCAATAATTTATTAGTCTGTCTACATCTCCGAAGCGTAAAATCCTCTTTTCCACTTTCTGACCGAGGTGGGACTAAGTTGTTGTTTTGCAAGTCTCAAGTAAGTCTCATGTCTTTGACCTCAAGTCCAAGTCAAGTCCAAGTGGTCTGCTTTGAGCTTCAAGTCATTTCAAGTTTTTAAACCAAAGCTTAGATAAATTGTACTTAAAAAAGTCATGGTATATTTATATATGAGTGTTTATATATTATATTATATTATATTATAGTTGTAGAAATGCAATTTTTTCTTTTTTTTAATGTCTTAACAAGATCTTGGTGTGAATCATTACGGTCAAAATAGAAAGAATTCAGATTTAAAAGTGCAGAATATGTGAAATGGAAGGATCGTGTTGTATTGTACTGTATATTACTGTAGTACATTTGAGGATACCACATTGCAGTACTTCAGTTACATCCAAAGTTACACATGTAAAAGTGGGAGGGACATGTTCTAGTTTGTTCATGTAAAATTCAGCACATTCATCAGCTGTTAAGGGAAAAGTATTTTCTAAAAGCATATATTTGTTTAGGAGAAGCGTCAAGTCTTCTCAAGTCACAGGCCTCAAGTCCAAGTCAAGTCCCAAGTCATTGACCTTCAAGTGCAAGTCGAGTCCCAAGTCTTAATCCATTTTCTTAAGTCAAGTCTCAAGTCCTAAAAACAGTGACTCAAGTCTGACTCGAGTCCAAGTCACGACTTGCAAGTCCCCACCTCTGCCTTGTGACGTCACTAAGCGAGAGTTTTCAGCTGTTTTTACCTTTGTTTAGTGAAGGTGAGCAATTCTACGGCTGAAATTATCCAAAATGATTCTAGTGAAGGTGTACTGAATTTAAAAACACAGTGGAGCCCTTCCTGTATTACCACATGTCATGAAAAGGTGACGTGGTTTTTGTTTGGGAGATTGTGTGAATGAAACCAAACACAACTACTGGTCTGTTTTTGATAAGGAAACAACATTATAAAATAGTATAATCTATAAAATAGATTTAAAAATAACAGTATTAGAGTATTTGTTCTGGTTGTCATAGAGGGTGGGAAGTCAAATTTGGAAGGAGTTTAGCTGGAAGGTCAAATAAAAATTCTTCAGAACCGCGTTGAAAACTTTTATTTTGAAATGTAGTCTTAGTGACAAGTGTTGGAGGAATTATGGACTTGTGGGCGACCAAACTCACATATTTTGGGACTGCCCCAGTATACAACATTTCTGGGTTGATGTTAAAGATGTTTTACAAAATATATTGACAATGGACCTGTTGATGGATCTTTTTGCTTGATACATTTCCTGATGGTCTCTCTCATGATCAGTGCTTTCTGTTGCATCCTCTTCTGTTGTCTGTAAGAAAAATGATCCCGATCTACTGGCTGAAACCTGAAACACAGACCATTGATCAGTGGATATCAAAAATCAGACAAGTTTAATATAAATATATAAAATAATATATAATATAAAATAAAATATATAAATTGTGTGAAGGCCCGGCCTCAGGACACTGTTGATGTGACTTGTTTGGGGCAATAATAGTAAAAAAAAAAAAAAAATAATAAAAAAAAAATAAAAAAAAATAATAATAATAATAATAATAATAATAATAATAATAATAATAATAATAATAATAATAATAATAATAAGAGAGTGACCTAAAAATTAAGAAAGGAAAAAAAAAAAAAAAAAAACAAGGAACAAGGATCAAGATTTAAGGTTAATCTAATCTAAAATAAGATTCGGGTACTTCAAAATTCTAAACCTCAAAATGTTTAAAAACTACTTTCATATTGCAGTAATTCAATGTCATTACATTATTTCTCAAATTTTGCAAATTTTCAGTTTCTTCAAAGATAATCTCCTTGTTTATTGTACAGTAAACACTATTATTAGTACTACTACTTCACTACAAATGTGCATACTTTTACTGTGGCGCTGTTTATGCTGCATGTTCCTCAGTATCAGACGTAGAATCTGCCCCACCACAGGCTTCAGACTGTGATAAACAGGAATCTATTGTGTAGCACAGAGACTATATAAAGCACATGGCATGTTCAGTCTTCCCTATAGCAGAGATGATTAAAGGCACATGTGAATACTGATGTGAATACTGATAAGAACATGACATTTTACAGTGGAGGCTCTTTTCAGCAAAAAGTACCATCAGGATCACTATTTTCATGATACTGATGAATGAAAGTCTGGTTTAAAGTTACAATAAAGTCTCTATTTTTGTGCATTTGTCCATTACAGGAATATTATCTGTCAATGTTTATGTAAAATCCCACAGTCGTCCAGGTAGAATCTTTCAGTTTTTTGGCTGAAGAGGAGCTGCAAAACCAAAAAAAAACAACCAAAAAAAAAAAATCGTCTAGTTGAATCTGTGTATCATTCATTCATTCCTTTTCAATATAAAACCAAAAATAAGAAAATGAAAAAAACAACAGTTTTCTTCATTATTTGTCTCCTAAACCAAAATGAAAAAAATGGATAATGATTTGTTTTTTTTCAGTTTTCGATTTTGTGTTTAAATGAAGAATGGAAAACACAAATAAGGGACGTTTCTCGTTTACGTGACTTACGTGACTGTGATGCTGGTCTTTTGCATTGCATACGGACCGAACCAGGACTGATCCAGGTCCGGGACCAGACTGGAACCAGACGGGCCTGGTCCCGGCCTGTTCTCAGTCTCAGTCCTGGTCTGGTCCCAGTCTGGTCCTGGTCTGGTCTCGGTCTCAGTCCCGGTCTGGTCCCGGTCTGTTCTCAGTCTCAGTCCCGATCAGTCTCAGTCTCCGGTCTCTCTGGTCCCGGTCTGGTCCCGGTCTGGTCTCGGTCTCAGTCTCAGTCCCGGTCTGGTCCCGGTCTGGTCCCGGTCTGGTCTCGGTCTCAGTCTCAGTCTCAGGTCTGGTCCCGGTCCTCTGTCTCTCCCGGTCTGGTCCCAGTCTCAGTCTCAGGTCTCAGTCTCAGTCTCTGGTCTGGTCTCCGGAGTCCTGGTTCAGTCTCGTCTCGTGCAGCGTCAAAAGTCGGCATCACAGTCACGGAAGTCACATAAACGGGAAACGGACGTTATCCATTTTTTCCATTCTTCATTTAAACACAAAATTGAAAACTGAAAAAACAAATCATTATCTGTTTTTTTCATTTTGGTTTTGGAGACAAATAATGAAGAAAACTGTTGTTTTTTCATTTTCTTATTTTTGGTTTTATATTGAAAAACGAATGAACGAATGATACACGGATTTATTTGAACCAACTGAATTTCTCCTTCGCCATCTGTCAGTGTAATTAAGTTTTTTTCCACATGACCCTTTTGGAAAATGAATGGTTAGTGGTCATTCAAGTGTAATGTTGTGGAAATATTTCGATGAGAACAAAATTAGAGGTCTCGAGTCAAACAGTTGTCTTGAAAGTCAAACAGTTGTTAAGTTTTTATTTCGAGTTTGTGCCAAGAGTAAAACAATAATCATATACATATTACATACATCTTAAACAAAAAAAAAGCACATTTCTCAAAAAGGAGAGGGAAGAAGAAAATAAAAAACCTTGTATTAACCCACCCCTGTTCATAGTTCATAGTTTGTGCTGTACATTGATGACAAAACTTTACTTTTGCTTTACCCAGTTTCTTTCTTTTTTTTGTATTGTGCTGTATTATGGTTGTACAAACTAATAATAGTGATAAAGAAGGCCCAGAAGTTTATCGTTTATGATCGTATCAAATTAATAATTGTCGCTGTGTGGTTTATTCTCCTGCAAGAGAAAGAGCAAGTAGAGACGAGACTAGATCAGGTAGAAGAAGGAGAGAAAGAGGGAGTATAAAAAGTCCCACACTTGGTTTTATTCAGGCAGTGCAAAGGTATGTACACAGGTCATCATGACACAAATAATGAGGGGAGGACTGGACAGTGAGGGGATGCACCTGAGAGAGGAATGTCAGTGTTTGGAAAAGTGGAAAAGTACTGAAGACTGAAACTGGGGCCTGATAATTATAGGATATGTTAAAATATATTTTGCTACTACAGTATTGTTTCTAGAAATATATTATAAGTACAGTTTTGTAATATGTTATTTTCTACTATTTGATATCCAAGCTGGTGCAACCTCGTGCCTCCGCTCAATTTAATTTCTCTCCAGCGACCAGGTCAGGAATCAAAATACACTAGACGGTTTGCAAGAATCCCCGGAAGTTGTAGATCACACACCGGCCAATCAGAGAACAGCTGTGAAGCCATGACGTCAAAGTCAAGCGTCTGTCTGGGTCCCTTTTGTCGAACAGCACAACAGGAAACTAGAAAAGCACTCAGAGAGCGCAGACCTCCGCCAAGGACTACCCCCATTTTTTATATAAATTGCGATAAAATCAATCTTCTGGATCAGATCCGGATCAGCCTTTGGAATATGAAAGAGGATCCCATTGTCCATCCCTGAGTCAAATTTCATGGGGTTTGGTCAATAATTAACCGAGATATTGAGAAACAAAATTTTTGGCCCCATTTACCACAATGTTAACTAAAATTTCAAAGTGATCCAGAATCCAGGATTTCTTCCGGATCACCCCCAAAATGAAATCAGTTCTTCCTCTTCACATTTCCAACAAATCCTGAAAATTTCATCAAAATCGGTCCATAACTTTTTGAGTTATGTTGCTAAAGACAAACAAACAAACAAACAGACAAACAAACAAACAAACAGACAAACAGACAAACGCCGGCAAAAACATAACCTCCTTGGCGGAGGTAATTATGTACAAAACTGGTTCAAACTGGTCTTCTCTCACAAGAGTTTGAAGTGGTGAATGGGAGGAGCCACATTAACACTAAAAGAAGTTGAACTAGAAAAGCACTGAGAGAGCGCAGACCTCTGCCAAGGACTACCCCCATTTTTTATATAAATTGCGATAAAATCAGTCTTCTGGATCAGATCCGGATCAGCCTTCGAAATATGAAAGAGGATCCCATTGTCCATCCCTGAGTCAAATTTCATGGGGTTTGGTCAATAATTAACCGAGATATTGAGAAACAAAATTTTTGTTGCTAATTTTTTGTTGACAACAGACAAACAAACAAACAAACAGACAAACGCCGGCAAAAACATAACCTTCTTGGCGGAGGTAGTAAAGCGTCGAGATGGATGTAGACGAAGACAGACATTCTGTTTTGGCAACGATTCCCGAGATCGAAGATTTAAAGCCGAAACAAAGAGAACGTTTGGTGAATTTTATCAAGGGGAAAAGCCGTTCTTGCCCTTCTTACTACGGGATTTGGTGCATTACATACGTCACAAACAAATAGCAACGATTGGTTAAATAAAAAAAGTATCTGCCTACCATCGAGCGAACAAATCCTAATGCTGGTGGGTGGTAATTGTGTTCTGCATGTATATATATATATATATATATATATATATATATGTATATCTATGGCAGAAGTGTCAGCAGCAGTTACCATTGTGACACATTGCCCATTTTAGCAAATACAGCCTGACAAGTTTCAAGAACAAAGTATGAAAACTCAAGAAAAGGCATTTTCACACATTTTCAGGAGCCTGTGATCAATACCAACTTACATCAAAGTGAGAGTGACTGACTGAAAAAACACTGGCTAATACAAGAAAATGTTTTTGTTTACATCCAGCTTTGCCCAGTGGCTGGTAGGCAAAAAGTCAGTGGAGCCACTCGTTTGTGTTGACAGTTGTGCTGCGTATGTCATATCTGTCATGAGATAACTCGTCTTATTTTGAAGTAGGTTTTGTATTTAATAGTTTTGACATGACTTCATCATCTTACTCTAACTCACTGAATGTTGAGGATCAAAAACGTTACTTTGAAAAGTTAAAACTCGCCGATAACTGTTGACGAAGTTGATGCTGACTTGTTGATATGGATGCTTTTTGCGTACCTAAATGGTTGACGTGATGGCATCTTGTTTTCTCGTATGCTTGACGAGAGACTAATATTTTTGAGAGGGACTTGTTTAATATCATAAATCAGCTCACCTAAATCTGTTCTTTATGGTCAGATTGTGTAAAAACAAAGCCCAGATTACAGTTTAACTTGACTAACAGAGCTCCAGACAGAGTAGTCCTTTCAGTTAGCTTCACACCCCCAGGAAATGTTGATGAAATCAGCTGTAAAACATCAATAAGCATTATTCTAAGTCAAAACTAATCAAATGAAGGTATATATATTCTTAGATCAAGTGATAGTAACCTAGATATTACTCTATTTTTTTATTGGCCAAAAAAAAAACAAAGTTTTACTTACACCCAAATAAAAAGTCATTAGTCCATGTTTATTTATTTTACTTTTGGTTTTCTTTGTTCACACACAAACACACATTGACGTCACAAACCAAATCTGACTGACACTTGGACTCTGCTCTAAAGATTTCGGCCCATTCATTTCTGTCCAAGTCTGTGGCAAAATATGCTTTTCTGCACTTTATTTCAATGCTCCAAGTTTGGACAACACCCAAAGCCCACTGTTGTTTTGATATTCGCTCGGTCACACATTTTCACTTACACTCACATACGATGATAAAACAGCAGTTATTCAGACGCCTGTGAGCACAAAGCCACAAACAGAAGCTTCATTGTTCTGCCCCGCTAACATTATTTCCCCGCACCCCGAGCTACTGCCTCGGATATTTCTTCACGTTGGCTCCGCATGTGATCCTCTGACGTCTTCGATTCAAAGCGCGGCGTTTTTATCGTCTGTTTATTTGTCGTTACTCTAGGCTTGAGCACGGACAGTTCAGACACCGTTCTGATGGAGGGCGGGGAGCATTCGGCGGGGGGCAGCGATGAAAGCCCCTCTGAAGCCGAGCTAGCGCTGGGCAGAGACGAGGCATCCATGGACCTGGAGGACAGCGACTCGGGGGCGTCTGACAGGCGGCTCTCCCCCGGGACGGTGAGGGGTTTCGGGGCGGAGGGAGCGGGGCCGTGCCTGAGCTCCGCCTGGGACCTGGCCTTCTACGAGGAGCGGCGTTTCAGTGGAGAGGTGGTGAAATATGCAGTGGACCTGGGGCAGCACACGGGGGGAGCGGCTTGTGTGGACGTGAAAACGCAGGTGAGGAGACGCAAAGGTGACGTCAGATGTGACCTTAAGAGACTAACAATAAAGTCTGGCTGGTTTATTGATGTCCAAAATCAGGCTAAACAGTTTGAAGAATGTAAAAAAAAATACTACAAAGACATTTTCAATTTCACTTTCTTTTAAAATCTGTAACAATTTCAAGTACCTCTGGTTGGGGTAAACACAAATTTGATTGATCAGATTTGAATTTTAATTGCTTGGTTTTCATTTTTAACTCAGAAAAAAAACATGTTTGAATTGTTTTTACTGTTTATTTTAGTTGATAAAAAAAAAAAATTCAGTATACATTTTAAACTTGTTTAGAAATAAAAATAAAAAAATAAAAAACACCTTTTAAAAATTCAGCACAAATATTTTAAAGCCCTCAAATTGAACAGTCAAAATTCAGACTGTAAAATTTGCAGTAAAAAAGCAGAAAAGATTTATTATCCTAAGGCAAAAGCAATCGAGCCTAAGTGAGTCGGCCAAAGTGAATAACAATCATACAGCCCATAGTAACAACGAGAAAATGTTGCAGGGAAATGATCTGATTGGTCAGAATTAGCGTAAATTTTCCAAACAAAACCTCATGTGTCCTGTCTTTACAACTATAAGCCCCGCCCACGGAAGAGAGAGGCCAATAGGAAACGGCTTCTTCTGCCGTCATCAGTGATGCACAATCAATTGCTTATGCCTTTTCACACACACTGCAAAAAATAAAATCTAGCCAAGTTAAGATGACTTGAATTAAGAAATTTTTATCCTGATTTAGGTAAATTTCACTTGACAGGTAAAATTATCTACCAATGGAATAAGACTTTTTGTACTTAAAATATGAAAATACAACTTGCTACACTTAAATAAGAAAAACAACAACTTTTTGCGTGCAATATAAGACACAAGATGTGATATTGCTGTTCCATTGGTAGATAATGTTACTTGTTAAGTTGAATCTACTCAAATAAAGTAAAATGTTCTTCATTTAAGTCATTTTAACTTATGTGTAGAATATGTGTAGAAACCAATCGTCCAGGTAGAATCCTTGGCAAAGAAGAAATTCAATTTGTCACACTGCACAAATATTTATTAAGGTCTAAAAATGTTTTGCAGCTCATCCAAGTTGCTTCTTCAGTTCTGGTCAAAATGCTGATGGGCACTTCCTTATATCTGCCTGAAGGGAGGAGCTAACTATACTCAGTCCAGATGAATAGGCCTAGTTAACAAACAGAAACTGTAAACAAGTAGGTGTGTTAGTTTCAGAGTAATTTCAGTGTAGTTATCTCCTCTCTTCAGGCAGATATAAGGAAATGTCCATCAGTGTTCGAGCCAGAACTGAAGAAGCAGCTTGGATGAGTTGCAAAATGTTCTCAACCTAAATAAATGTTTGTCCAGTTTACAAATTGAATTTCTCCTTTGGCTTTCATGCACAAAATTATGTATTACACGGGTCTCAAAGCTGTAGCTCTCCAACCCAATCCAAGTGGCTCACCGAGGGACTCCTGGATTAATATAATAAATAAAAAAATTGGTTATTTACATCCCTATTACCATCATAAATGTATAATATTGAAACCCAAGTTTGTGCACTAATAAATGGACAATGGTTTACGTTTTATAGGCATTAACTGTACCACAAGGCTCACCCTCTTTCTTTTAATCGTCTCAATTCCTCTCGTCTCTGGCATTTTTGTTTTGTAAAGGAGCTCACTGGAGGAAAAAGGTTGGAGACCCCAAGAGATGTATTGTGTATCAGCTCACCCGTTGTAGTTACAGATAAATCAGTTCTTTCTGGTCAGATTGCGTTAAGACAAAACTCAGATTATAGTCAAACTTGAGTAACAGAGTCTCAGACAGCAGTGCCTCTAGTTAGCTTCACCTCCCAGGGAATATCGATGATCAGCTGCAAAGTACCAATGAGAAAACACAGGTTAAAAGTCGAGAGAATGCAGTCCCACCCCTGGACAGAATGCAGAGTTTTTAGAGAGTCCGATATCGAGACAGAAAGATTTTTTAACTTCTTGAATTGTCAATAATGCACCATAGAAATAGCATTATCTGATATTTTGAATGGTCTTTCTTGTTCCTCATTCTCCACCACAAACTTGAGTGTATCTTTTCTTTTTCTTCTGAAGTGGGGCACATGTGGCTGAGGGGCGACGCGGCACAGAGCCATGTGTGAGCCTGTAAGATAATAGCTGTATATGACTCTCCAAACTGAACGTGAATACTAACAGGGTGAACTCAGCCCCGGGCACACGAGGCTCTTATCATCTACAGACGCATGTTAATGAAGCTCTTTTGTGTTTGTGCACTTTGATGGCTCCTCTGCTCCTTCACAGCTGCTAATAATACTACACCTGAGGAGCTCGGAGCCGGCGCTAAAGAAAATCACTTCAAACGACAGATTTGGTGAAATGGTGGCTACTTTGCATACTGTACGAGCCAAAAGCGGCATGCACTGGGGCCTAGTGTTATTTGAAGATATCACTAGGCCTTTCACAATAAATAACTACTACAGTATATTGACTTATGGTTCAATACTAGATGTGTAACGGTACATGTATCTGGAGACTGTTTCGGTACAGGACGTTTGGTTCGGTGCAGAGCTGTGCATAAGTGATTTTGCACAATTTGTGTGTGTTTACATTCCTCTTCTACATGGGCAGCTACATGGAAGGGTCGGGTCTTTAATATTCAGGAGGGAACTTGTCTGTGATTGGGGTGACAGTGTTTCCTGCAGTGCTTTAGTTAGGGCGGCCACCCTGACAATTGCCCCCAGACTTGACTACATCCCTCTGAACCTCGTGAATCCTCACAAAACTACAGTTGTCTCACCCCGGTTCTTCACTTTCTCCGCCACGGAATCTCACCACAGAGATCCACAAAGAACACCCCCAGCATCAGTGCAAATCCTTCTTTAGAGTTATTGTGTCAGAGGCAAAACATACTTTCATTATCATTGTATATCTGGCTGTATTTTCGTCTGAAATATACAATATATGTGTTTAATTGTGTTTCATTTCCTTTGAACAGGAAGTGCAGCAGCAGTTGATAATTGAGACGAGAAATCTGAAGAAAACAAGAAATTTCTATCACAAGTTACTCCAACAAGAGAGAAAGAACAAAGGTAAGGTCCAGTATAATTGTAATAACAGTAAAACTCTATGATAAATGCAATACTAAGGTACAAAAAATCTTCTTGGTGCTGTATTTGTATTATTTTATTGCAGGTGGAATTGTTGTTAAAGCTGCTTTATGTAACTTTTCTAGTGAGAGCGGTCACCTGCTTGATGTTATTGCTTTGCGTGTAATGTTCCTGTGATTAGGGTGGCCTTTCCACAGATCTGACCTGTAATTTGCCTTGCTGGCACTACCTGCTTGTCTCCATGGAGTTGAGGTGAATTTAATGTCATACTTTGGAACAATCAAGCAAAGCAAAAACATCTCCATGGAGACAAGAAGGTGAAGAACCATCCACCAGAAGAGTGCAGCTTTTAAGACGATTAGATATAATATTTCTGTTCAAGGTTTTGGTTAGATAAACACAGCTGGAGCTAAAACTCTTTTGAGGTCAGAACACCAATAAAACACTTTATTTTATTTTATTTTTTGTCCAAAGGCTCTGACAACAAAGCGATGCTGAGCAAACTGAAGACTCAGCTGGAGGAGCTGCGGTCCAGAGTGATTTTCCTGGAAAGTGTCAAGAAATACCTTGAGGTAAAGAACACTAAGAAAGTTCTATATAAACTAAAAATTACAATCAATACCTCACATTTTCTCTTTCAACAATAAAAACATCTAAACAATCAGGAAATATATATATAGTATTTGAGCAAAAGTTGTTTTACCCCAGCACAGATGTATTGTTTTATAAGCAGCTGTTGAACTCAAATAAGGCAGCTGTGTTCTGTCTGCATCTAATTTAAGCGTTAAGCTTTTGTTGTCCGAGAATCAGGAAGTGTTCAGTTATCATGGTAGTTGTTATTAGCATTATCTTGACGTAAAAATGCAGCTGTGATCTTGGAAATTTGTGAACTGTGCTTATAAGCTTATAAGCTGCACTTAGATTGCATTGGAACACTGCAAACTATTAAAAATGAACTAGTTACTGTTATATCAAAATATAATTGTCTGTACTAGGATGAGACTCTAAAAGGTCTTTAACTATGATTGAGGCTTAGTAATTATTTCATTAATACCCCAACTTCTAACCCTAACCCCTAAGGCTGCCACACATTATAAGATTTTTCAGTCTTAGGCAAGGCAAGTTTATTTGAATAGCACAATTTGTACACAAAGTAATTCAAAGTGCTTTACAGAATAAGAAATACATTAAAATCACAATACAAACAAATCAAAACATAAATAATCATCATAAAACTAAAAAGAGAAAGAGACATTAAATGAGGGAGAAGAGTGCCAAATGAAAAATGAAAACGTTTCAGTCATACGCAGCTGAACAGAACCGTTTTGAGCCTGGATTTAAACAGAGTCAAAGTCGAGTCTGTCTCACATGTTCAGACTGTTCCAGGATTTAGATGCATGAACCTAAAACTCTGACTCCCCGTGTTTAGTCCTGACTCTGGGCACCAGCAGGAGGCCGATCCCTGAGGTTCTTAGAGTGCGAGATGATTCATATGGCATTAACATGTCAGCTTTTTAAACATGTGACAAAACACGCACACCACAGACACGAGGAGATTTTAAATCTCCGATCACAAAGACTGCAGCGGGATATGTCTGTGGGACGCAGGATATAAAGCTGTGAGCGCGATAGCATCAACTGTTTCCTGTCTACTGTAAAACCTCGCTTCTAGTTCAGATACAAGTCAAACCTGTGCTATTATTATTTGTGAAATGTGGTCCAAAACTTCAGATACATGATTTTTAATGCACAGAAGGTTGGTGATAAAGTCCACAGGAAGTAGTCACTGTCACTGATCTGCAGCTTCACCTGGATCCGTGCTCTGTGTGGATGTAAACGAACACACGTGAGGAACTACTCTTGCCTTTTTACTTTTAAAGAACACCTCAAACTGGATTAATAGTGCAGTTTTGTGGACTGAGGGTCAAATTCTATGGATAATGTGGATGCTGCAGGCGAAATTTACAACTACAACTAATTGTTTTTGCTATTTCCTGAGTTTGTATCTTGCTCCTCTTGGTTCTGCCCCTCCCTCTGTTTTATTGGCTGTTACCGTAGTGTTGGTGATGTTTGGGGATTACGATCTGACAGAGCTCCTCGTGTGTGCCGCACATGAGGAGCGCAGCGGCTTCAAAATCGCTCACAAACACACTTAGTCAGGTCACGCCTCCCCGAACTCAGGGAGAAGCAAATTGCAGCCTAAATACAGCAAATTCTCCTGTAGTGTGTGGCAGCCTTTAGTTAAGTAGTTACCTAATAAACTACTATCGTTCACTAATGACATTCTTTTCTGAAATGTATAAACTTTTTCTAAACTCTGAATTTATCTTCTTTAACTTTTTACTTCTTGTCTGTGACTTTGTCCAGGTTCTGAGCATTGACCAGTGGGGGTTGGAGGTGTCACTGCTGCCCTCTCTGGCTGATTGTGGAGCTGACGGTCTGGAGCTGCAGTCTTCAGAGGATTCTTCTGTTTTGTCCTTCAGCTGCAGTAAAGGGATGAGCACTCTGCAGCTCGGCTCGCCTCTCGGACTCATGGCTTACCTCTTCGCCAGGTAAACCACAGCTAATCGGGTTTTCTATGTGCATTTTATGAGGTCTGTGCAAAAATTCACAATCACAATCACAAATTGATTTTAAAGAAATAAATGGCTGTGGAGCGACTCGTTTAAAAACTGCCCCAGAAGTCAGATCTCTTCTATTGAAATTGTATTTATTGTTCCACTCTGATTATACAGAATATAAACTACACTGCATTGTGACCAGAAAGAACTGACTGAGCTGAAACTGACAATTTTTTAGCTTTTTATTGAAACTCAAACACCTAAATCAGGGATGTCCAAACTTTTTTCATTAAGGGCCACATATCTAAACACAGACAAAGCAGAGAGCCGATCGAGGGCCGTAGACTGATGCTCAGTACAGTGAATAATTGAAATATGTGCATGTTTAACATGTTAGAATGAGCCATCAGCATTTATTCATGCTAAGATCCTTAAAACCACACACTAAATATTCAAAATGAGCTTTATCAAGGCAGATTTTCAAAAAACTTGCAGTAAAAAAATATTTTTTAATTGATGCAAGATAATTTGGGCCAATTCACCTGGAAGCCTGAGGGCCAAGAAAAATTTGTCTGAGTTCCGCATTTGGCCCCCGGGCCATAGTTTGGACATGCCTGACCTAAACAGAACCATGAAGGCTTCTATTGATCACAGGCTCCTGAAAGTTTGTTTTTTAAATCAATTTGTGTTTTTTTTTCTTTAGATTTCAGAGGATCTTAAAATATATTTGACAGTGTTTGCCAATGTGTTCATTGTGTCTCCATGGTAACTGTGGAACATTCTGTCAGTGCACATACATGTTGAACACCCCCAGTGTAATGTCACTGCGTATCAATAGTCTTACCATTATAATACAGATGTTCCCAGTTTCAGCTTCTGCACATACTTTATCTCCAGAATACCGCTGGCAATAAAAGTTGTTCTTCAAAATGTGTTCCATGTTTCTTACATGTTTCATTTTTCTCCTGCTTTACAGTCTGCAGTAGAAAATACTTGACCCACTTTCAGTTCCCACCACCTCAGGCCAGATTTTATTTAAAGCTTTGATACTGCGCTAATTGAAGGACTTACAGTTCCCTCTTGTTACTAATTTATTACGATTTAAATTATGCAGTGAATAAAACGCATCGTCTTCATGAACGTAAAGATAATAGGAGACTGGAGGTGTAATCAGAGTTGCTTCTTTTGTCACAGAAATGCAGCTATGGAGGGCTACATCCAGCAGTTCTTGTACACTTTCCGTTACTTCTGCAGCCCAGAGGAGCTACTACAGTTTATAATGGACAAGTTTATGAGCGCTGCAAGGTAAGATTTAACCAATAATGTGTCTCTACTAAACTACATCCAATTTATGGATGTTATATTAACTTTGTGTTCCCATTCCCATCTAGATATAGACTGATATAGCAGGTGGGCAATATGTCGGGCCAATATTTGGACTTTTTACTGCATCGGCTGTCGGCCTTAAATCACCAATGTTTTATTTTAGTCTATCTGCTGTTTAAAAAATACACAAAGCTTTATATTAACACTTACACGAAGAGATAGCTGCACAAAACGTGTCTTCACTGCTCTCTTAAAGGTCTTTGGTTAAAAAGGTCTCTGGTTGAGTTTGTTCTAAATTTAAATGACATAATTTGAGGAAAATAATAAAAATCTGCCCTATCGCCCCAGAAATATTGGCAGAGCTTATCGGCCATGAGTTGCTCTCTATTCTAAACAATCAGTACCAGCATTGGCCATGAAAAACAAAAAACAAAAACATATCAATCGATCTCTACAAAAGATATAATATTTTGTTTTAAATTATTCATGACTATGACAATGGTCTTTTCTATTTCATTTCTTCTGAAGCCCATGGATTCTGGCCCATAGAAATCATTGAGACCAGTTTACTCCTGATGTAGACTTGGTTTGGTCCTGATCTAGTCTTGATTCAGTCTTAGTCCAGAATTAGTTTTGGATTTAGTCCCAGTTTTCAGGTGGTCTATGGTTGTGTTTCTCAAACGGTGTGACGTGTACAACTGGTGATGGACAGCTCTTTAGTTTGTGGGTTTGTGAGTTAATTTTATACACTTTATATCCTCTTTTGGTCAATTTCCTGTTTAGAACTACACTGAATGTGGTATGTAGTATGTATATTTTATGTATGAATGATGTAGTCCACTTTTAGACCAGGTTTAGCCCTAGATTAAACCTAGAATAGTCCTGGTAGTACATAAAAAAAACTATATTTTCTTTGGTTGTATTTGGAGCCAAAAAGTTTGAAAGCCTCTAGTTTATTTGCAAATGTGAATGCACCCTAAGATCTTAAAACTCTTTAATATGTTCTGTTTTTAGGGAGGGTCCGGACTTGTCTGGGGACAGTCTGAAGGTTTTCCACAGAAGCCTGGACCTGCTGCAGCTCTGGGTTTGTCACTGTAAAGACGTGGACTTCACAGGGAGGAGCAGCCTGATGGAGACTATAGAAAACTTTATCAACACGCAGGTTTGGATACACACTTTTTTCTTGCCAATAACTTTAGATATCAATTAAGAATACCCCAAAGTACTTTTAGCTCTGCCTCAGTGTTTCAAATTGTAATACATATAACACTGGCCTTGTTCCCTATGCAGATCTTAAATAATAATCATTAAAGCAGAGCAACAGTTTACAGAATCTTATAGTTAATACAAAGGTTTGCTTCTGATTATGTGTTATACCAATGATTTCACTGCTCCGGTCCTCTGCCACTTTCCTCAATTCAAATATGGCCCTGAGGTACTTGCAGGGTTCCCACTGTCAGGGAAATCCTGGAAAAGTCATGGAAATTGAAAAAAAAAAAAGTAAATTCAATGAAAGTTTTGGAAAAGTCATAGTATTTTAGTGTCTCTTTCATGCAAGTTCTCATGAGGCTATTATGATTATTTCTATCGTCTATCGATATCGTCTGCGCCTTTTGTTTAAAAGAGACGACAATAAATACACTGACAGGATTTTGAATGTTAAAAAAACTATAATACCAACCATACCAAAGGTGAGTGGAAAGTGTTAACATTTCATATTTAACCCTAAAAGGATGATCAGTTCTACAGAATTAGGGGCAGTAAAGTCAAAATTCACTTAAGATCATGAAAAAGTCAGGGAAATGTTTTGAAATTTTGTCAGTGAAAAAGAGCGGGAACCCTGTACTTGGTGTGAGAAGAATTAGAACAGTGGTGTCAAACTCAAATTCACTGAGGGCCAAACTAAATTTATTGGAAAATTTTAACAACATCTACATGTTTTGTCTTCTTTCGAGATATGTAATGTTAAACCTTTTCTTACCAAAATAAATGTTTAACCCTTATATTGTGTTAGGGTCAAAATTGACCCGTTTTCAAGTTTAGGTATGTAAAAACTTCCATTTGCTTTTTTGTACCGGAATGAGGCTTCATCTAATCAGAACAGCCAAAAAAAAAAAAAAATCAGGATCATGTGTCACAGGTTAATACGTATATTTTAAGACCAAAATGAGGAGGTTCACAGCAGCAGGTACAAAGAGAAGGACGACAAGATCCTAACATAAGTCAATTGGAGCCAGAGTCAGAAGGAGCCGGAAGAGCCTCCTGGAGAACTTTCTATTTGGAACGCGGTGGCTACAGCGTTAGTTATGTCCATTCATATATACGTCTGTGGATGAGGATGAGGTTCAGTATGACCCTGAACAAGAGCACACATGTGGTGAGGAGAACCCAGATGTCACAAAGACTGAAAGAGACGTCTTCAAGTCAAGAAAAAGTGACAGTTCATGGTCACCAAGCCTCTTGACACCCAATATAATTATACTTACATATAATATAAATCAAATTTATATATTATATATAAAATTATTATGATTATAGTATAATTATATAATATAATTACAAATTTTACTATAGGAAATATAATTAGCGAATTTAAGCAGTTTTTGTAATCAAAAACGGTGGTATATTTTAAGATAAAAGGTCTGTGCAGCCAAAAAAAAAAAAAAATAATAAAAATGTTTCCATGGACATGAACACATACTAAGTTAGTTATGAGGGGAAAAACAATATTGGATGATATCTAGTGTTTTTAAGTATTTTCAGGCTGAGTTAAATCACGGGTCAAATTTGACCCGGTAACACTAAAGACGCGTGTAGCTTTCTAACACAATACAAGGGTTAATAATAGTTTTGCTTTAACACTGAATCCAGGACAAGCATAAAATAAAATAATAACAGCATTTTAAATAAATAATGTCTCTATAGCCTATCTGTAGCCTGCAGGCCAGCTCTAAAACATGTTTGATATGATCTCACGGGCCAAATATAATTATATCATGGGCCAAATTTGGTCCCCCAGGCCTGAGTTTGACATGTCTGATTTAGAACCACTGCTCTAAACATTCTTCCAATTCAAGCTCCTCATCATAACCAGGCCCCCATCTACCTCCCTGAGCTCCTCCACCACCACCACCCGTGCCCACCGATCAGCTGATGCCAACCTCCTGACTCACCCCACCAGGACTAAACTTAAGACCTGGAGGTACAGGACCTTTTCTGCTGCTGCCCCCCACACCCTCTGGAAGTCCCTCCCATAACACATCAGAGACTCATCCACACTCCCCATGTTTAAAAAAGTCCTGAAAACCCGTCTCTTTAAAACCAACTTTCATTAACTTTCTCATTTCTTCATGTAAAGCGTCTTTGTGTATCTTAAAAAGCGCTAAACAAGTGCTGTGTATTATTATTACTAGATTATTGAAACTAAGACCATTTTAGTCCCTGTTATAGCCCTGGTTTAGTTCTTGGTTCAGTCTTGGTTTAGTCCTGGTTTAGATTTAGTCTTGGTTTAGTCTTGGTTTAGGTTTAGTCTTAGTTTAGTCTTGGTCTTGGTTTTGTCAGGTTTTAGTCCTGGTTTAGGTGCAGCTCTGGTGTAGTCCTGGTTTACCCCTGGTTTAGGTTTAGTCTTGGTTTTGTCTTGGTTTAATCTTGGATTAGTCCTGGTTTAGTCCTAGTTTAGGCTCAGCCCTGGTTTAATCCTGGTTTAGGTTTAGTCTTGTCTTAGTCCTGGTTTAGGTTCAGCCCTGGTTTAATCCTGGTTTTGGTTTAGTCTTGGTTTAGTCCTGGTTTAGTCCTAGTTTAGGCTCAGCCCTGGTTTAATCCTGGTTTAGGTTTAGTCTTGGCTTAGTCCTGTTTTAGGTTCAGCCCTGGTTTAATCCTGGTTTTGGTTTAGTCTTGGTTTAGTTCTGGTTTAGGTTTAGTCTTAGTTTAGTCTTGGTCTTGGTTTTGTCAGGTTTTAGTCCTGGTTTAGGTGCAGCTCTGGTGTAGTCCTGGTTTACCCCTGGTTTAGGTTTAGTCTTGGTTTTGTCTTGGTTTAATCTTGGTTTAGTCCTGGTTTAGTCCTAGTTTAGGCTCAGACCTGGTTTAATCCTGGTTTAGGTTTAGTCTTGGCTTAGTCCTGGTTTAGGTTCAGCCCTGGTTTAATCCTGGTTTTGGTTTAGTCTTGGTTTAGTCCTGGTTTAGTCCTAGTTTAGGCTCAGCCCTGGTTTAATCCTGGTTTAGGTTTAGTCTTGGTTTCTGTTTTAGTTTGGTTTAGTCCTGGTTTTGGTTTAGTCTTGGTTTAGTCTGGTTTAGGTTTCTTGTTTAGTCTTGGTCTTGGTTTTGTCAGGTTTTAGTCCTGGTTTAGGTGCAGTTTGGTTAGTCCTGGTTTACCCCTGGTTTAGGTTTAGTCTTGGTTTTGTCTTGGTTTAATCTTGGTTTAGTCCTGGTTTAGTCCTAGTTTAGGCTCAGCCCTGGTTTAATCCTGGTTTAGGTTTAGTCTTGTTGGTTTAGTTCCCTGGTTTGGTTTAGTCTTGGTTTAGTTCTGGTTTAGGTTTAGTCTTGGTTTAGTCTTGGTCTTGGTTTTGTCATGTTTTAGTCCTGGTTTAGGTGGTTTACCCCTGGTTTAGGTTTAGTCCTGGTTTAGGCTCAGTCCTGGTTTAATCCTGGTTTAGGTTTAGTCTTGGTTTAGTCTTGTTTTAGTCCTGGTTTAGGTGCAGCTCTGGTTTAGTCCTGGTTTAGTCCTGGTTTAGGTTTAGTCTTGGTTTTGTCTTGGAATAGTCTTGGTTTAGTCTTGGTTTAATCCTGGTTTTGGTTTAGTCCTGGTTTAGTCTTGTTTTAGTCCTGGTTTAGGTGCAGCTCTGGTGTAGTCCTGGTTTAGCCCTGATTTAGGTTTAGTCTTGGTTTAATTTTGGTTTAGTCCTAGTTTAGGCTCAGCCCTGGTTTAATCCTGGTTTAGGTTTAGTCTTGGTTTAGTTCTGGTTTAGGTTTAGTCTTGGTTTAGTCTTGGTCTTGGTTTTGTCAGGTTTTAGTCCTGGTTTAGGTGCAGCACTGGTGTAGTCCTTGGTTAACCCCTGGTTTAGGTTTAGTCTTGGTTTAGGTTTAGTCTTGGTTTTGTCTTGGTTTAATCTTGGTTTAGTCCTAGTTTTTAGGCTCAGCCCTGGTTTAATCCTGGTTTAGGTTTAGTTCTGGTTTAGGTTTAGTCTTGGTTTAGTCTTGGTGTGGGTTTTGTCATGTTTTAGTCCTGGTTTAGGTGGTTTACCCCTGGTTTAGGTTTAGTCCTGGTTTAGGCTCAGTCCTGGTTTAATCCTGGTTTAGGTTTAGTCCTGGTTTAGTCATGGTTTAGTCTTGGTTCTTCAATCTTCAAGAGCTGAGTTTTGCTGCAGTGGCACATTAGTGGAGGTCTGTCTATCTATCAAAGTTTACATAAGTATAAAAATGAAACTGACTGATGAAGAGTGAATTGTTCATTTAAAAAACGATATGGAGTTTAAAATCTCTCATGTCTCAGGTGATCCCGGTGGACAGTCGCGGGGAGGCCCTTCTCTCGACTCTGCACAGCCCCCCTCAGACCACCTCTGCCCAGTGCACGGGCAGTCAGCTCAGTCTGGTGGAGGAGGACGACCTGGTCTGTCTCCACTCGTCCACCGAGGATCTGGGCAAAAGGGTAAGAAAAGTTAAAGGTTGTATGGAGGATTTTTTTTTTTGTTTCAGATTGTCATTGAAAGTTTAAAATACCATTACAGAGACGCAGCAGCCTTGTAATTATGATGACCGAAAAAAAAAAAAGAATGAAAATCTATCAACTGTGGACGTAGTGAGGCCAGATAAACATCAATAGAAAACGAGGCTCCCTCTTTATCTATTGGCTGTCAGGTTGTCAATCAAACTCCCTACATTTTTTGTGCAACTGACTCGCCGGCGCTCGGGGATGACGTGGTTTATGCAGCGGTTCTTAGAGGCTTTTTCGCACAAAGTTTGTTACGATGGCGGACGAGAATCCACAACAAGTTCGCCGCAAACGAAAGCCTGAAGGGTCTAAAAACTGACGCGTCGGTCGCTGAATTATTTCTAGGCAGGTCACTTCAACTGTAATTCTGAACACGCACTGGATGTAAACAAACGTGATTTGTAGAGTAAAGAGGCGGGAGGAGGAGGTGTTTCTGCTGAGGCTGTGGAGGAGGAAGGTGGTGTCACACATGCACGACATTTGAAAAAGAACTGTCGCTGTAGTTCACGTCCCTTAAAAAAATCCTCTATACAACCTTTAAGATACGTTTTTACAATTACAGGTGTTTTTATTGCTCAAAAACACATCAAAAAACATGGAATTCTCCCACTAACTGTAACTCGGCTTGGTCGTATCACACGCTTGATGAGTTTAATGCCATACTGTGGAACATGTAGAGCTGTTTTTTCTTCAAAACATATTATACCCATGGTTAGATTTTTAATTTTTATGTAACTTCATATTAGACGTGGACAAAATTGTTGGTACAATTTGAGCTGGAACGTGCTGTCTGGAGAAGGCACCTTTCAAACTTGAGACAACTAGAACAGTTTGCTCACATGGAGTGGGTCAAAATACCTGTTGACCAGTGCAAAAGTCTCATTGACAGTTACAGAAATCATTTGTTTGCAGAGTTTGCCTCAAAACTTGTGCAACAAAATATTAAGTTAACAGCACCATTTTTGTCCAGGCCAGTTCCAATATTTTGTTTTTTCAAATTATTCTGTGGAACGACAATGTTTGATTTTCATTGAACAATTTTCAGTAATTTTTTATTTATTATTGCTTTTCTCAGTTTCAAGTTATTTCAGTGATGATTGTCGATTTTCTTTCATCGCCAGAGGAAACCAACAATTTTGTCCACGACTGTATGTTATAATATTTTTGCTTCGCCACAAACAGACCTGGAGTTGTGGTTTTTTGTTACATTCACACATGTTTAACACAGAAATCTTGCGTATTTAAGCTGAGTTCTTGGCTCAAATGCTGTTCTACATTGTGATGTCATGTGGTAATACAGGATGTGCTCCACTGTGTTTTTAAACTCCATACACCTTCACTAGAATCATTTGGATAATTGTAAATCTCTTCTAAGGCAAAGCAAGTTTATTTGTACAGCACAATTTGTACACAAACTAATTCAAAGTGCTTTACCGAATAAGAAATACATTAAAATCACAATAAAAACTAATCAAAACATAAATAATCATTGTAAATTAATAAAAAGAGAAAGAGAAGAGTGCAGAATCAAAACCTTTCAGTCATGTGCAGCTAAACAAAACCGTTTTGAGTCTGGATTTAAAAAGAGTCAAAGTTGAGTCTGTCTCACATGTTCAGACTGTTCCAGGTTTTAGCTGCATGAATCTGAAAATCTGACTCCCAGTGTTTAGTCGTGACTCTGGGCACCAGCAGGAGGTCGGTCCCTGAGCTCTTCAAAGTGTGAGATGGTTCATATGGCGCTAACATGTCACAGATGGACTTTGGTGCTCGGCCACGGAGAGACTTGAGCCGCTTTAAAGTCTCTGAGCCACAAGACTGACTGCAGAGACCTGAGCACAGGATGCATGAGCTCGTACTTTCTAGTTCAAGTCAGGACCCGAGCTGCAGCGTTCTGGATGTATTGTAGCTGTCTCTTCGCTCGTTTGGACAGGCTAATGAGCAGGATCTTTAGTAAAGAAAAGGTAAAAGGTATCTGAGGTGAAGTCATTTGGAAAATGCTGCTCCATGACATCATGAGGTGGAACAGAGCATTCTCAGCACTGGAGATGCAGACAGACTAATAATAAAGGATTACTCAAACACGTGTGAATGAAACAAAACACAACTCCAGTTTGTTTTTGAAAAGGTGACGACATTCAAACATGATCAAAAGTTTTTGCTTAAAATAGGACCTTTAAGGACCTGAGCTCTGGGTAATGACCGAAAGGACAAGATCACGGATACAAGCGGTTGAAATGAGTTTCCTCCGCAGAGTGGCTGGGCGCTCCCTTAGAGATAGGGCGAGGAGCTCAGTCACACGGGAGGAGCTCGGAGTAGAGCCGCTGCTCCTCCACGTTGAGAGGAGCAGCTGAGGGGACTCGGGCATCTGTTCTGGATGCCTTCTGGATGCCTCTCTCCGGAGATGTTCCGGGCATGTCCCACCGAGAGGAGGCCCCGGGGAAGACCTATGACACGCTGGAGGGACTATGTCTCTCGGCTTGCCTGGGAACGTCTCGGGATCCCCCGGGAAGAGCTGGAGGAAGTGTGTGTGGAGAGGGAAGTCTGGGAGGCCCTTCTCAGACTGCTGCCCTCGACCCCGGACAAGCAGAAGAAAATGGATGGATGGATAGGACCTTTAAGTTTGCTGAAGTCTTCTTTTACTGAACAGTTCAAATAGTAAATAAACGAAAACCAGGGCCAACTATGATTGGAAATGAGTAGATATTTATTTAATTAAAACTGTGATAATTGCACAGCTGTGTCATCATGCCAACTATACTCATTTTGGAGTCAACACATGTCAACACAAACCTCTCTGCTGCTGGTCTGTGTTTTCCTCAGTGGCGTATCTCTCGTGTGGTGGAGCCCTCCCCCTCTCTGCCCAAAGACAAGTCCTTCTCCATCGCGGCCGCTCTCCCCGTGCCCTGTTACAGCTCTCTGTTTGAGGACCTGCCCAGCTCGTGTGTGCACAGTGAGGAGAGGCTGCCCTTCTGCCAGAGCGAGTACAGCCCACAGCACCTGGCCCAGCAGCTCACGCTCATAGAACAGGTAAAACTTATTTTACTTTGCGCTGATATCACTCTGGTGCTGTTCTACGTGTATGTCTACTGGCAGAATGTTCAACAGTTACCGTGGTGACACAATGCACACATGATGTAGTCATGAAAGAAGACCAGATAAAGAGTAGGGCTGCGTATCATGACAAAGTTGCAGATACTATACATATCTCGATACAGTGCACTTTCAGGTCTATAATATATTTCAAATTGATTCAATATGGTTCAATAAAAAATACTGGATAAATCGTGGGTGTGATACTAAATGTATTTGTTAAACCACTTCTCGTGCAAAATTTATATGAAACACAAACATTTTAACCACCAAAACAGTGAAAATGTCAAATGTGTCGCATAAACAAGTTCACTTCCTCTAAACAAGCAACAAAACTGTAGCTCTGTAACAAAATAATTTTAAAATATACCAGAAAATACTCAATTGGTCGATATAGTAGCCCACGATATCGATACTGTATAATCACATTAAACAACGCAACATATAGAGTTCAATATTTTTGCACAGCCTTAGTAGAGAGTTGAAAGGAGACCTTTATCTGATGTCAGAGTAGTGAAGGTCCACACAGCAGCCTCATACAGGCTCATACAGGCTCATACAGGCTCATACACTCATACACGTCTCACAATACAGCTTCTCTGTATATTTACACTCGGGAAAGTTCTAACTATAGAAGTCTGGGCATACATGGACTTAAACTAATTTAGCAAACTATACATACAAGGTTGTACCTTTAACTGTCAAAAGAAATGCAAAATATGTCACAAAAGATTGCTTGTATTTGAAGAAAATTTGCTTATAGTAGTTGCAGTCTGTAACTGAAGGAGCTGACTGCAGAGGAAACACTTTAAGTACAAAGTACATTTATTAATTTACTCTGAAAACAATTTAATTTCATGCTAATTACTGTGTGTTACAAAAACTAAGTTTTTAAATATCAAAGACACTAAATTATAACAAAATGTATGCTTTCACAATCAAGTCAAGAACAAATAGAAAATGGATTTGCACAACATTTTCAGTTCAGATTGTGTTCAGTTACAGCTCAGATTAAAGTCTAAGAAGCTTCAGACAGAGCAGAGCCTCTGAACTGATGCACAAATTTTATATTTTATAGTTAGTTTAGTGTAAATTCATACATCCTGGATTCTTGAGGAGCACTGATGCACTCACCTTTTTATTTGCAAAGACTAGTTATTACTTTTACTATTTTCGCCACTAGAGGGAGACACATTCACACTTCATGTTTATCTTTAATGTAACCTTTTTTTTTTTTTCTTTTGCAGGAGATTTTCCGAAGGTGTCACCCAATTCATTTTCTGAACTCCAGGACACAGGGGGTCACAGACAACGCCCTGAGCACAAACAAGTAAGAAACTACTTCACTCTAACGCTCAAATGTATGACCAATGGAAAGAGAGGATCCTGTACACTGTAAAAATAGTGAATAGAGTTTAAATGCCCTGAATTTACAACATGAATCTTGTTTTCAGTTTGGACTAGACTAAGATTATATTGAGACTGAGAATGTTCCAACTGGATTCAAGATCATTCAAGGTTAAAGTAAGAAAATAAATCCAACAATGTGCAAATACATTTTTACTTTAAGAGCCCCGTTGGCTGATAATTTAGATTGTAATAGAAAGCAATTAATAAGTGAAATTAATTAAAACAACTTGTGCTGGGTTAGATTTATGACTCATCCTCATCCAAATAACTGAAATAAATTAAGTAACTTGTACTTTTAGATGGTTACTTTTACTTGAGTAGGAATTAAGCAAAGATATTAAGTGAAGATACTTTTACTTCATTACAATTTTGCAGTACTTCTTCCACCTCTGGCTGTGACTACAATACAGAGGTGGGACCAAGTCGTTGTTTTGCAAGTCTCAAGTAAGTCTCAAGTCTTTGACCTCAAGTCTGAGTCAAGTCCCAAGTCGAGTCTCGAGTCACTGACCCTTAAGTCCAAGTCAAGTCCAAGTCGTCTGCTTTGAGCTTCACGTCATTTCAAGCCTTTAAACCAAAGTACCAAATATAAGCTTAGATTTTTGCAGTTTATATGACTTTTAAACTAAATTGTGCTTAAAAAGTCATGGTACATTTATAGATGATTGTATTATATAATTGTAGAAATGCAAATTTTTCCTTTTTAAATGTCTTTTCAAGATCTCGGTGTGAATCATTACGGCCAGAATAAAAAGAATTCAGATTTAACAGAGCTTAATAAGTTATTTTGTTGTGTAGACTGCACTGAAATGGAAGGATCTTACTCTGTCATTCCCGCCGTTTTACTGTATTGTACTTTATATTACTGTGTTCTATTGTATATTACTGTAGTACATTTGAGTATCACAGTACTTCAATTACATCCAAAGTACCAAACAGAAGTGGGACGGACATGTTTCAATTTTCTCCTGTAAAATTCAGCGCCACGTTTATCAACCGTGAAGAGGAAAGTATTTTCTAAAAACATATATATTTTTGGGGAGAAGCATCAAGTCTTCACAGGCCTTAAGTTCAAGTCAAGTCCTGAGTCACTGACCTTCAAGTCCGAGTCGAGTCCCAACTCTTAGTTCATTTTATCAAGTCAAGCCTCAAGTCCTAAAAATAGTGACTCAAGTCTGATTCGGGTCCAAGTCAATAGTATTTTACCACGACAGTCTGAACTATGCTCTGTAAAATGTTTTAATATAAATCCAGTACATTTTTATACAGAAACGACCAAGTAAACTCAAATCAACACGACTGGTTACTGTTCCCACATCACTGAGGGCAGTGTTGGGAAGGTGACTTTTAAAATGTAATCCTCTACAGATTACAAATTACACACACCAAAAAGTAGTTTGTAACGTAATCCATTAAATTACTTAAAGTGAGTAACGTAATCTGAATACTTTGGATTACTTGATTTGCTGTAGAGAAGCAAAGACGAGGAAATCGTAACATAAGATGTTTTGTCTGATAAAAGAAAATAAAAAGCCCAGACTTTACTGAACCAAATAAAAAAATATTATTGATAGAAGACGAGGAGACACGTCCGCGCAGCATGATTTAGTCCTGGTTAAGTCCTGGTTCATTGCTGGTTTAGTCCTGGTTTTAGTCCTGTTTTAGACCTGGTTTTAGACCTGGTTTTAGACCTGTTTTAGACCTGTTTTAGACCTGGTTTAGATCTAGTTTAGACCTGGTTTAGGCCTATTTTAGACCTGGTTTAGGCCTATTTTAGACCTGGTTTAGACCTGGTTTAGATCTAGTTTAGACCTGGTTTTAGTCCTGTTTTAGACCTGGTTTTAGTCCTGGTTTAGACCTGGTTTAGTCCTGGTATTAGTCGGGGTTTAGACCTGGTTTAGTTTCCGGCAATGAGTGGAATTACCGAAGAAAAGAACAAAAAAAAGGAAAAAAAAGGGGGATATAGCCCAAAATGCAAAAACAGGAAAATCCCTCTGTGTAATCCATTTATTTCAACAAAGTAACTGTAATCCAATTACCACTCACTGAAACAGTAACTGTAACTGAATACAGTTACTCATAATTTGTACTCTGATTACATAACTCCAGTACATGTAATCTGTTACTCCCCAACACTGACTGAGGGACATTAGCACCTTTACTAAAAATATTATCCACCAAAATGATCCGGTTTGCCTTGTTTGCCTTGTTTGTTGCCTCCTCAGAAACGTGTCGTCCCCGGCGTGTCCAGCAGAGGGCAGCGGCGCTCTGTCTGCGGACCACAGCTCCCTCCAGCAGCTGCTCGTCCACTCAGACCTCGTGTCTCACTGGGTGTGTGCCGAAGCGCTCCTGTGCGACTCCCTGAAGGTGACGTCTCCTTCCCTCTCGCTGTAACACCAATAACACCAATAACGGCAACAACGGGAGCTCGCTATCACTCATCCGGGGTCGGGGCGCGGGGGCCGGACCGGCGCATCGGTCTCGCAGCGTGTGGGTTAGATTCCTCATCGGGCGCGGAGCGAAGTGTCAGGCGCGCTCAAACCAACTGTGGCCTCACTCTGTATCTGTCACTGGACGGACTCACAAATGTGGCGATAGACTTTTTTTTCTTTTTCAGACATGATTTGTGGAGAAGTTTCAGGTTAGTTTAGTTTTTAGGTTAGTTAAGTGTTGCTAGGTAACAGTTATCGCAAATAATTTATTGTGGAGCTTAAATTACATTTTCTTAGCTGTAAATATTTGATTTGTAAGCACATAAGTATTCCAAGTTTCATAATCCCAACCCTAAATGAAGCACTTTGAAGGACTTCCCTAAGACCATTATATTTAAATGTTCATTATGTAACTTTTTGGTTAGGGGTCCGTCACCTGCTTGTTTCTATGGATATGTCATTGCCCTGCTCTGGAATGTTCCACAGTGTGACGTTAAACACCTCTACCTTACATTTATTCAGTTAAAAGTGGTTTTATAGCTCAAAAATACCTTGAAAAACAAGCATTCTGACTGTGAGCGGGGTCGCCTCTCCGCAGATCTGACCTGTAACTTGGTCTAGTTTGGTGTCCGTGAAGATAAGAAAGGTTTAATGCCAAACTGCAAAATAAGTTTTGGCAAAAATTTAAGATATAAACACTCAGAAAATGACTTAAAAGTAGTGAATTTACCTGTTCATGCAGCAAAATCATTTTATTCGACAAGTTACCTTAAAATAAACAACCTCGAGACTAGAATTAAACATCTCAGAACTAGTAAGAAAATAATAAATCTGAAAACAAGATGAATAACCTGATAAACTTGGCCAGATCAGAGAAATTTGCAGTGCAATCACAATGTAAACAAGGACCAGAGGATCTTATTTGCATAATAGGAATTATGGAACAAAACAATTCTTTTAAATCATTGTAACTTTATGGTTAAGAGTTTGTCACTTGCTTGTTTCTATAGATATGTCATTCCCCTGCTCTGGAATGTTCCACAGTGTGACATTAAACACCTCTACCTTACATTTATTCAATTAAAAGTGGTTTTATAGCTCAAAAATACCTTGAAAAACAGGCTTTCTGACTGTGAGCGGGGTCGCCTCTCCGCAGATCTGACCTGTAACTTGGTCTAGTTTGGTCTCCATGAAGATAAGAAAGGTTTAATAAGATAAGATAAGATAAGATATGCCTTTATTAGTCCCACAGTGTGGAAATTCCAGTGTTGCAACGTACAATTCAAGAACAGCAGGAAAATGGTAACATGCAATAAAACAGATCATAGATAAAAATAATTTAAAAATAGACTTAAAAGTAGATTCTAATGTAACACACTGTTTTGGTATGTACAATAAAAGTAACAGTGCAGCATAATGCCGTACTGCGAAACAGGTTGGCCAAAATGTAAGATATAAACACTTAAATCTATCAGAAAATGACTTAGAAGTAGTGAAATTATCTGTTCATGTAGCAAAATAATTTTATTCGACAAGTTATCTTAAAATCAACAACCTCTAGACTAGAATTAAACATCTCAGAACTAGTAAGAAAATAATAAATCTGAAAACAAGATGAATAACCTGATATAAGTTGTAAAAATTTGGCCAGATCAGAGAAATTTGCAGTGTAATCATCATGTAAACAAGGACCAAAACCTGTCTTATTTGCACAATAGTAATGATGTGACAAAATCATTCTTTTAAATTAAATCTAATTAAATTAAATTAAATCACCTGTCACTGCTCTGCTCTGGAATGTTCCACAGTGTGACATTAAACAGCTCTACCTTACATTTATTCAATTAAAAGTGGTTTTATAGCTCAAAAATACCTTGAAAAACAGGCATTCTGACTGTGAGCGGAGTCGCCTCTCCGCAGATCTGACCTGTAACTTGGTCTAGTTTGGAGTCCATGAAAATAGAAATTTACTGCAAAATAGCTTGGCCAAAATTTAAGATATAAACACTTAAATAAATCAGAAAATGACTTAAAAGTAGTGAAATTATCTGTTCATGCAGCAAAATCATTTTATTCGACAAGTTATCTTAAAATAAATGACCTCTAGACTAAAATTAAGATTAATCTCAGAACTAGTAAATACATAATAAATCTGAAAACAAGATGAGTAACCTGATATAAGTTTTAAAAATTTGTCCAGATCAGAGAAATTTGCAGTGTAATCACAGTCTTATTTGCACAATAGTAATGATTTAACAAAATAATTCTTTTAAATCATTGTAACTTTTTGGTTGTTGGTCCATCACCTGCTTGTTTCTGTCATCTGTGTCATTGCTCTGCTCTAGAATGTTCCACAGTGTGACATTAAACAGCTCTAATTTACATTCATTAAAATACAAGTAGGTTTATATTTTAATTTCATTTATTTATTTATTTAAAACAAAGAGAGTGCACATAAATGATTAATCTCAGAAAGAAAAGTCGCTCTGTGCCAGATTTAGCTCCAAGCTCCTTTCCATCTGCAGTCCTCAGGCAGGTACAAAATATAATATATTCAAGAAACTATTTACATTAAACCAACTCTAAAAACAGCATTTCATCAGTAACAATATCTCCTTAAAATAACTGCAATCCAATTCATCATTAAACGTTTAAAACAAATCAACATGAATAAATTCAAATTTCCATAAATACAAGATTTCAAATTCATAGTTATCCTCTAAAAATACTCGAATTCATTATCATCAAAATTAGGGCTGAGTATCATTAAGAAGTTGCCGATACGATACATACCTTGATACATAGGTCACGATACGATACATATCTCGACACCGTGCGCTTTCGATTCGATATGACATGTTTCAAATCGATTTGTTAAGGTTCAATTAAAAAAATAAAGGCTAAATCATGGCTGTGATGCTAAAAGTCTTTGTTAAACCACTTTCTGTGCAATGTTACTATGAAAAACTTCTATTTTAATCATGAAAACAGTGAAAATGTCAAATGTGTCGCGTGAACAAATGTCCTTCCTCTAAACAAGAAGGAAAATTGTAGCCGTAACAAAATAAATGAGTAAAATATACAAAAAAAATACTCTTGGCGATATATCGATACAGCAGCCCACGATATCGATACTGTATCATCACATTAAAGAAGACGATATTTTGATATTTTGCGCACTCGTAATCAAAATCCTTTAAAATTCATCAGTATTATACTCTTAAAATACAATTCATCAACAACAACATGACCATCACCAACATATCGCAAAAATACCTAGTAAAACTTATTCTGACTGTGGCAGATCTGTGTCGCCTCTCCACAGATCTGACCTGTAACTTGGTCCGGTTTGGTCTCCGTGAAGATAGAAAGGTTTAATGCCACACTGTGAAACATTCCAGATGAAGCAATAACATCTCCACTGGAAAAGTTACATTGTGCACCTTTAAGAATGTACTTAAAATATTGCAAATTCTAATCAGGTACTTGGTAAGCGCATAAAATTAAAAAATAAAGCGCTGTATGTTTTTCATTATAAAACAATCAATTATAGAGTTTCAAAATAATGAGCAATTAGGGCAGTCGATGTTGCAATTAAACATTTTGTAAAACTAAATCTTAAATCTTTTGTGTTGAGAAAAGTCCTCAAGTTCAGATTTCATAACAATGGAAGCTAAAACCTGTGAATATTTTAGTTTTATTTTAAAGTAACCACAATTATTTAGCTACTATGAGTTGGATGAGACACAATTTTCACGAGACTGGGTTCACAAGAAGGAGGTAAGATGAGATTTTGACATAATTTCTAACAACTAAATAGTGCGTTTCACAATACATGCATCACAAATTTCGGACTTCTGGTCAAATTTTCCGAAAAAGTGAGCATCAAACCGTCATGTTTGTTTTCCCAGTGGGATGAGACTATTAACAAAGCCGTTTATTTTCAAGTCTTTTGAACCATATCGCTTTTGTTTCTGATTCTGATATTGTCATATTCTAGTTATAGGATTCGGACGTCGTAATTGTGTGGTTGTTGGATCCTAACAGCGGAAAACGGGTCGATAAATTTGTTTGCGAACTTCATAACTGCAAAATCGAATCAGATGTGTGTGACTGCAAACCTCTGTTCAAACTGTTTCCCTTCCCAACGGAATTGAAAAATAGTGAAAGGCGAAGGCGATGGGCAGGATTGATCCACAGGAAGGACCAAAAAGGAAACATTTGACTGACTAAATCATCCCGAGTTTGCAGCGAACATTTTGTATGTGGAGCGCCAACAAAGCAAAACCCCGATCCCTCACTCAACCTCGGTTATGAATTTAAAAAGTCAACGCCAAAGCAAAAGGCACCAGTTGTTCACCAAGAAACACCTTCCACTGCAAAGAGACCAAGACGTGATGTTGCTGTAAAGTCGAACAAGAAAGTGCAAGCTCAGCCTTTTTGTCTTCAGCACGTCTCGCTTAACAAATGGGATCCCGCTTTGATGTCACTCCACGTAGAAAATGTTTGCTGTAAACTCGTAAACCGGGATGGTTTAGGCCAGGGGTGTCAAACTCATTTTGGTCCGGGGGCCGTATACAACCTACTTTGATCCTAAAGGGGCCGGATCAGAAAACTCATGACATATAAACCCCAAAAATAGCAATAAGTTCAAATAATTATGCAGTGAAGCACAAATCTATTACAGAAATATTTTTTTTACTTGATGAACTCTTTCTTTTACAAAATATTATAATATTATGAAAAAAAAAAATGCTATTTCAACACAATGATTTAACATTAACTTGGATATAAATAGGAATAAGTAAATTTTTCTTGTAAAATCCTGCACTCGGCTCCACTTTTCTCATGTTGGACATTTTTCTGATGAGGGTGTCACGGTCAACAGTCAAAACGATCGTCCTTTAAGAGCGTTTGGAAAGAGACAAGTCTTCA